TACAGCCACTCTGGAAAGCAGTTCATCATTTAAAACAAACAAATGAACAAGTACTTTAGTTTCCTCCACAAAAAGAAATAAATGTCTTTTTACCATCTGATATAATATGTCTAATGTATACTATGAAGCAGCAGAGCAAAGTTATGTCTCTGAGGAAGCAAACAAACATAATACTGAGGAATATGCAATATGTGCAACACACATCTATTTTAGAAGTTTACCATGCAATTCACCACTCTAATACAATACACAATACATAGTATTATATAATATTATTCTAATAGCAATATTGACCCTTTCAGTGGCCAGATTTTTAGTTTTGAGAGTACAGACAGATGTCCAAGGCACTTTCTCTCAAAATTTTCCATGAAAGTATACACATAAAGATAAGAGATTCAAGAGTGGATAAAGGAATTGTGGGATATTCACAAAGAATGCTACTCAGCAATTAAAAAGAATGAATTATTCATACCTATGATATATATATATATATATAAGGAGCTCTGGTGGCACAGTGGTTAAAGCACTCAGTACCAACTAAAAAGTCAGTGGTTTGAACCCACCAGTCAATCCTTAGAGAAAGATGAGACAGTCTGCCTCCATAGAAATGTACAGCCTTGGAAACCCTATGAAGTAGTTCTAATCTGTCTTACAGGGTTGCTATAAGTTGGAATCAACTCAATAACAATATGAATAGTACAAAGAGTAAAACAACTAGACATAAAAGAGTACACAGGGTATGTTTCACTTACATAAACTTTTAGAGAAGGTGAAAAATCTAAAGTGAACGAGAAATAGATGCTCAAAATAAGCTCATAAAACAATGTACACAGACTGTTTCAAACTTAGGGAGATAAGAATTTACTTTAAGGGTAACCACAAAGAAAATTAACAACCCTTCTAAGCAAACTCAAAAAGAAAAACACATGGGCTTAGTAAGCACAAAACCAACAATAATAAAGAAAAGAGAAAAAAACACTTGCTAACAAAATGAACTCAGCACAGAAAAATATATGGAACAAGGAAATCACCAACAATACAACAAAAAACACAACAGAATGTGACAGTGCCTAAGGCATTTGATTGCTAACCAGAAGGCTGGCAGTTCAAACCCACCAGCCACTCCTCAGAAGGAAGGTTGGGCAATCTACTTCCGTAGAGATACTGCTTCAGAAACCCAAGGAAGGGTCACTATGAGTTGGATCCGACTCAACAGCAGTGGGTTTGGTTTGGTTTGGTTTATCACTAATTACACTCAATGTGAATGGACTAAATTTGCACCAATCAAGAGAAAGAGAGTGGCAGATTGGATAAGAAGGCCCATGGATATGCTGCCTACAAGAGACCCACCTTAGACACAAAGATAAAAACAAATTAAAAATTAAGGGGCAGAAAAAAATATATCAAGGTAATGGCCCAAAAAAGAGCAGGAGTGGCAATATTAATTTCTGATAAAATAAGACTTCAATGTAAAAAACAGCGTAAGGGACAAAGAAGGACACTATGTGATGCTAAAAGGGTTAAATCACCAAGAAGCCATTACCATAATAAATATCTATGCACTCAATGAAAGAGCTCCAAAATACATAAAGTAAATATTGACTGAATTGAAAGGAAAAATGGACAACTCTACAATAGTAGTAGAAGACTTCAACACACCACTTTCAAGGAGGGACAGAACCACCAGAACAAAACTCAACAAAGATACAGAACTCAACAACACAATCAATCAACTTGACCTCACAGACATACAGAGCACTCCACCCAACAAAAGCACAATACACATTCTTCTCCCATGTACATGGATCATTCTTCAGAATAGACCATGTGTTAGAATAAAAAACAAGCCTCAAAAAATTCAAAAAAATTGGAAAAAAATTCTAAAGTGACACAAACTAAACAGTACTTGCCTGGGGTGGGAGATAGGGTGAAGATGAAAGATTACTTCAAAGGTACGTAAGAGAGACTTCTGGGTGACAGAAATATCTTTTATATCTTGCACTGGCAGTTAAACAGATAAATATAGCTGGCAGGATTCATCAAACTGAAAACTCTCAGTTATGTGCATTTAACTGTATTTTATGTCTTAATTTAAAAAGAAAAAGACAATGAACTATCAGTAATACTCAAAATGCCAGTCCACATCAACATAAGTTTTGCATCACAATGTAAATGAACACACTTCCTTCATCAAGAAAGTCATGCTATAAAAATAATCTCAGGTAGGAAGGACACAGGGAAGCGGTAACTATGGGGAGGAAGTGGGAAAGGAGCTGTTACATTGTAGGAAATTGCAGTCAATGTCAAGAGACAAAGTATACGTGAGCTGCTGTATGGAAAGTGAGTTTGCTCTGTAAACTTTCACCCAAATCAAAATAAAAATTAAAAAAAAAAACCCTCAGCTAAACTAAACTACTGCTTAGTAACAAGGCTAAGGTACAGGTAGGCCTATAACAGGTTACTGAGCTAACCTAGCAGCTACTCAGCTAGACTAGCACCCTGTGGGAGAAAAAGGGAAAAGGTGAGATAGAGCTTAGAACAAGCTTGATGTTGAAAATACATTTACTTCCTTTTAAATTCAAAGGATTTTGTATTTTATATTAAAACATGTGTTTTAATATAAAAATATTCTCAGTTCCTTACTAGTTAAATGCCTTTGTTTTCCCAAACTTCTAATAAATTGATATTATGGGACAATACACCTGTACCCTGGTTTGAAAAGCACAACCAAGACTGAGATCTCATATTATTTTAAATGGCAAAACCACATCCCTGCCTCCTATTTTAAACAGAAAAACAAAGTTCAATCTATGACAGTGCTCAAATGCATTTATTATAAATATTTGATAATATCTATGATGCAAGAACACAAGAAAAAAAAATACACACGATTTTGTCCATGAATAGGAGTGAAAGAGATGGCATCTCAAGGAGTCTTACAGAGTAAGTTAAAAAAAAGGGAGAAAAAATCTGACTGGATGCTAGAAGTGATAATGTAAACAGTCTAGACTCAAGAAAACATTGAGATCAAGCAATGAAATCTTTCCTTTGCAAAAAAGCAAGCTTGTGGAATCAACTGCTTTACTTGGTGTGGGAGGGTGGGGACGGACCTTGGTTTTTTGTTTTGTGCCAAATGCATTTAAAAACTCAAGAAAAGTACTAAAAGGATGATTTAATTAATCTAATAGAGGTAGAAATATCAGTAAAGAAAGATGAATTGATAAAACAGAAGTGGGAAGAGAGCTGTTGCACTGTGGGAGATTAGTCAATGTCATGAGACAAAGTGTGTGTGAATTGATGTACTGAAGATGAATTTGCTCTGTAAACTTTTACTCAAATCACAATTTAAAAAAAGAGATGAATTGATAAACAACCTATAACAAAAACTTTTTATTTCCTGGAAAGCAGACCATTTGACTATTATTACCTCAACATAATCATGAAGTAAATGGCAATCATTCTTACCTTTCATGGCAGAAAGCAAAGAAAGTCTTTAAGTCTTTAAATCTTAGAGTCTACTTTAAGATAAGCAAGATGTCTTAAAGTAGAACCCAAATTTCTTGCTCAAAATTATTCTCTGTTCAAAATTTACCAAGCAGAGCTCTCAAAAACAAATAAACCACCACTGCACACTTATACTGACCTCCAATTTATATGTCCAGATTGTACTAGGCCCCTCACAACTCACTATCTCCATCTGAATGTTTCGTCACATCTCAAAGTTAAATACCCAAACCTGATCCTCCCACAATCTTCTCCATCTCCAGTAATAGCTACTTTGTCCAAGTGCTCAGGACAAAACCCTGGGAATCATCCTTGACTCCAATCCATCAGCAGATTCTGTCAGTCCTACCTTCCAGTTCTGTATCTTCCTACCATATGACCGTATCTCACACCACTTAAGATTTTAACCCTAGTCCAAGTCACCATCATCTCTCTCTTGAATTATTGCAATAGTCCCTTTACCAGTCTCTATTTCCATACTCCCTTCACCTCTACAGTCTATTACCAGCATATTAAGCAAAAGGGATCGTATGGAAACATAAGTCAGATGATGAATGCCTTTGCTGAATGGCTCCCTGTGACGCTTCAAATGGACTACGAGATCTGGCTCCTGCTACCTCTCTAGCCTCATCTAATACTCTCCCCTCATTTATTTCAGGTCAGTCACACTGGCTTCCTTACTGTTATTCAAACACAACAGGCAATCTCTCATCTCAAAGTCTTCGTACTTCCTAATCATATGCCAACTATCCCCCTGGCTCACTCCCTTGCTTTCTTAAGGACTTTATACATATGCCACCTTGTCAGGACATAGAGGAAGCCTTTCTAGACTAACTTAATAAAACTGCAGTTTCCCCAACTAATCTTCTTTATTCTTCTTCCCTCCTTTATTTTCCTCCACAGTACTTATCAGAAAGGAGCCCTGTGGTTAAAATGCTCGGCTGCCATGCAAAAGGTTCGCAATTCAAACCTACTAGCCACTATGCAGGAGAAAGATGCAACAGTCTACTTCCATAAAGATTTACAGCCTTGGAAACCCTACTGGGCAGCTCTACCCTGTCCTATAGGGTCACTATGAGTCAGAATCAACTCGATGGGAATGGGTTTATTTATACTATCTAACATACCATATATTTTACTTAATTTATGTTGTCGAATTGTTTTCTGCCACTAGGGTATAAGCTCCATAAAAGCAGGATTTTGTTTTGTATTGTTCACTGCTTTCCCCAGAATTGAGAATACTGTCTTACACATATGTCATAAGTATTACTGAATGAAATATTTACTAATGTAAAATAATCTCTAAGCAAATTACCAGTGATACTATTTTTCAGCCAACACTTAACTATTTTTTGGTTTCTATTTCTACTGAGAATTCAGTTTTATGTGGTAATGCAAACTTAACATAGTTTCATATAATTAGGATACACTTTTAAGTAAAGAGTATTTTAATATTTTCCCTCAAGTATTACAACCAGATTAAAAATAAGAATTACCTTATTTAAAGCATGCCCAATGTGAGCATCACCATTTGCGTAGGGAGGTCCATCGTGAAGACAAAACTCTGTCTTTACTTTCCTTTCTCTTTGCCATGAATAAAGTTCTGAAAATCCACATTTCTGTTTAAAAGGAACAAAAAACATCTGAATATCATATAAATACATACTTCTGAACATAACATAAATAACAAGCAGCACTTGCTTATTTTTAATTCCATTCCAATGTATTCAACTCTGAAATACAAATGGCAAGTTTTCTAAAATGCCCACCTGATCACTCTTATCTTAAAAGCTTTGAATAGTTTCCATCATTTCCTTCAGAATTAAGTCTAAAATTTATATGTGGTATGCAGGACCTTACAAGCTGTTCAATGTTATCAAGTTGACTCTGAACCATGGTGACTTTTCATATGACAGAACAAAACCTTACCCAATCTTGCGACATTTTCATGATCTTTTTGTATTAGAGTCTATCGTGTGGCTATGTCAGCCCATCTCCTTGAGTTTTCCCTCGTTTTCACTGACCCTCTACCAAAGATGTTGGCCTTTTCGAGCAATTGGTCTTTCCTGATGACATGTCCAAAATAAGAGACATGTCCACTTTCCCCTTTAAGGAGCTTTTTGGTTATATATCTTCTAACACTGATTTGTTTGTTCTTCTGGCAGTCCATGGTATATTCAATATTCTTCATCAACAGTACAATTTGAATGTATCAATTCTTTTTCTGTTTACTTATCATTGTCCAGCTGTTGCATGCTTATGTGGTGACTGAAAGGCCGTTGTTGGGGTCAGGTATGCCTTAGTCTCAAAGTGACATCTTGGCTTTTTAAAAATTTAAAGAGGTTTTTTGCAGCAGATTTGCTCAATGTATTATGTCATTTGATTTTTAGACTGCTGCTTCAATGGACATTGATTTTTTGACCCAAGTAGAGTGAAATCCTTGGTAACTTCAATATCTTTGCCATGTATCATAATGTTTTTTGATATATAATTGTGAGGATTTTAATTTTCTTCATGTTCAGGTATAATTCATACTGAAGGCTATATTCTCTGACCATCATCAGTAAGTGCTTCCAGTCATTTTCTTTTTTACAAGATTGTATAACCTGGCTGTCAACCACTTGGAAGAGGATCTTTGTAGGAGATCCTGGATAGACAGAGGGAACAATGTGGAAAAAAACTCAAATCATTTGGAAAAAAAAAAGCAGGGAACAGGTTTACTGGCCTGATGGAGCCTGGTGGAACCACTGAGACTATGGCCCATAGCTGCCCTTCAGGTCTGGAATTGAACACACACCTGTAGCCTCTAGCCAAGCAGTAGACAGGCATACTAGTTGAGCATTTATCTGAGATAGATACATTCCTTGGTGAGAACAAGCGAGAGAGAAAGAAGGGCTGCTCAGGAACAGTCAGGGCGTAGGAGTGCATGGAGGGATGGTCACAGGGAAGCGGTACCTATCGGGTGGAAGTGGGAGAAGAGATGTTGCATTGTGCTAAATTGTGGTCAATGTCATGAGACAAAGTGTATGTGATCTGCTGTATGGAAAGTGTATTTGCTCTGTAAATTTTCACCCAAATCACAATAA